CCCCCCCCCCACCTCCCAGAGGATTTCTATTGGCCCTTCTTATATTCACGCCGCAAATTAGTTGGGAATAGCAGTATTTATACTAGATCAGCAACGTCTGGTTCTTATCCAAATGTTCCACCTAAAGAGGATGCCAGTTCTCATGGATTGGACAGCCCACCCTGCAGCATTCCTGAGAATTGTACAATATAATCTTGAAAGTCAGCAGAGTGGATTATCCACTTTTTTCTGGACTTGAACTTGTGACCTTAACAGTAGCACAGCAGAAAGCAAATGTGCTATGCACTTTGCCATAGTAACCTTCCATGTATTCTTTTCAACTTAAATACACACAATTGAAACAGCTACAATTTTGGAAAATTATGTACAAACCCTATATTTTTTTCTTTTTTGATTACATATAAATACAAATTAGCTATTCTTCTAAAAAGTGGTTATAATAGTAAATAAATACAAAATAAGAATCTGACCATTATACTTCATGTGCTGGGGTTAAACCCATATAAAATGTACAACTAAAATACATTTAAAATCTTTAAAGGAATATTTCTCTGATTAAAATATTTGTTTTCCCAACTTTTTCGTAGACATAAATATATTTTCAAAATAGTTGTGTTTTTTTTTTTTCTTTCCATTTCATTACATAAATAAAGTCTTCATTGGGAAATATTAAAGTGTCAGCTATTTCTTTTTTTTTTCTTTTTTTTTTTTTTTTGCATTTGTCTGATATATTTGCTGTGTCAGCGGCACCCACAACCCTCCACGACCATATCCTGGTAGTTCTTTAATACAACTTTTTCATTTTCATCAAGGTAGAGCATGGAAATAGCACTCAGTTCTGTCGGCACACAGCAAGCCTTGGGGATTTTGGAATTCACCGAATTGACCAAAGTCTGAACAATGGCATGGTTTGTTGAGTTTAGGTGGTCTGCCAGTGGAAAAGGACATTCCCCATGGCAGTAAAAGGCACTATACCCCGGCGGGGCCACAATCCAGTCATTCCACCCCACATCATTGAAGTCCACATACAACGGATGCCTTTTGCAACTGTATTTGTGGCGTTTACGCTGTTTGTGTTTCGCTTGACGCTTTTCTCTTTTATGGAGCGGGTGTCCCTTGCCATCATGCCCAAACGTCACTAACAACGGCCTCAGCTGAGACCAGCTATCTTCATCCTGATGTAAAGACCTGCTAATCCTAACGTGCCTCTTGGAGGCACTGTTCTCTTTGTCCAAGTGAACCACCTCTACCACAAACCCATGATTAGGTTGTCCATGTGCAATCCACCTCAAAACAGCGGGCGTTACATCAAAACTTTCCCATTTACTCGCATTATGATGCACCAACCTGGTGTCCAAAAGTCTTGTGACAGGGTCCTTAGAGGTGGCTGTGGCTGGCTTTATAATTTCATAAATATTAATGCGGTGATGGTAGCTGCTGTTGTTCTCAAAGGCTCCGTGCACCTGTTTCCGAAAAATCTGGAGTTCAGCTGAGGTGATAGACTCCTCGTTAGGGATGGAAGTTAAATTAAAGAAGAAGCGCCGCGATGTTTTCCCACTCGTTTCCGGCAGTTCTTCCAAAACTTCTAATGTGATTAAACAGGGAAAATAAAAAAAATAAATAAATAAAAAAGAAAAAGAAAAGAAAATCAGGAACTGAGACAAGCAACCAAACCCCTCAAGACAGTCTGCTGTTGGCAACTTCCAAATGACAGCTGACACACGTGGCACACGAGATCTGATAGACTTTTCAGCAGAAAATACCACCTCCCTTGTCTTTCTGTTTGTTTTGCAAGCATATGTAGCATCAAGTCAAAAATGCTTCATTCACTGTTACGCATTCGGATTGAATACTGGTGCCCTTCACATTTCAGGTGCTCCTCGTAAGTAGCAAGAAATTTGGAATTAATTCGGAATTCAAGGACGGGGTGAGAAAACCCAAGCCCTGTAGTTAGCGGGAAACCATTAAAATCAGTTGAGGACTTTGGGTAACTATTGCATTTCTGCTTTTTTCAAGAATACAGTTCTAACATCAATCCCTTAAAATCCATTCTGAAAAACATTACTCTGCAATTTAGGTGATTTACAAATCTAAACTTATGGATTTTTGTATCTTTAGTTAGAGACAGTGAACTCAGCAACTGTAACGGCACTTTACACAGTACAGCCTAGTATTTACCCAAAAGGGCCATAAAGAACAGCAGGAAGAGTTAACTGGTAAAAAGGAGGTGGATGATAAAGGGATAACAAAACAAGTCACCTCCAAAAAACAAGTTTTCAAAACCACCAAAAACAAAAATTCAAGAAGTCACTAAACCTCAGGCCACTCTCACTTTTGAGTCAATAAATTACTGAATGGAGCTCCAGAGGGAGTAAAACGTACCTAGGGCTGCTAAGTACATTGTTGCTACAGACACAGAAGAAATTAGAAGTATTTGCCAAAACAAAGCTCCCTCAAGTCATGGTTTTTAATTACGGTGCTGAAGAAAAGAAAAGATCACTTTCTAAGGGGAAGGCATAGCTGCTGTCAGCAGTTCTTAGTCATGCAACCATTCCCCACTGAATCCACTACAACTTTTTGCATAAGGCAAGAGTCAGCCTTAGTATTTCAGGACCAGACCAACATCTGTAAATATGCAGATGTTTTGAATGGTCACTAGGCAAACTTATGCTTTCAAGAAGCCACTAATGCAGAGTGAAAACGCACAGAGAAAATGGGAGCCACGCTTTCTAAACCTTGTGAAAGTTACAAAGTTGCTTTCCTAACAAAACCAGTCCTTGCTGTAACAGTACGACTACTTCAAACTGCAGATTCTTACATTTGCCTAAACATTATCAACTCTGCCCTTTCAGCTCCTCTCTCGCTCGGCCCCTTGCCTACCATCCTTGGGTTTAATGGGAATGACCCACGCACTGGCTTTTCCCCATTTACTGCCAGGTGTTTACTTCCCATGTAGGGAAACGTGGAAGAGGAGAGGTTGGATTTCATCATTCATCTCCTTTCTCCTGACAAGGCTTTCCATTAAACGGCACATCCACTTCTCCGAGGCCACCTCCTTCATCCATCAGAAACTTAAATACTAATGGATTTCTTTTCTCGACACAGTTTCATGCTAAAAGCATGGGAAAACTGCATTTTCATCACTTTTGCAGCGGGGCCACTGCACGCCAACACCGGAGACCAGCAGCCAGGAACAATTACAACCTGGGGAAACGTTTCCCAAAAAGCACGTGAGCGACACGTGCCCCACCAGCTCCTCGGGCCTTGGCTGATGCCACAGCCACTGTTTTGGCTACAAGAGCCAGAAAACGCACCCAAAGGCTGAGTATGGCCCGTCCCAGAGAGTCGGCTGCCTCGGTGGGCTGCAGGTGAGGAGGGGCAGCAGAGGTGCTGCTGGAGGTACCGCAGGTGAGAGACAAACCCCGGGGAGCCCCGGCGTGGGCCCTGCTACATCGCTCCTCGACGGCAGCGCCAGAGGAGGTCGCGATTGATTGTCTCATTGATCTCTCACGGGGATTAGATAAGGATTAGAAACCTCCGCAGCGGCCCGGCTCAGCCGCGCATTAGGGAGCCTTTGCTGCTTTCCAGCCTCGCAGGAAAGCGGCGGTCTGTGGGAACGCTTAACGCGGAGCGGGTTTACCGGGAAAAGCCAATAAGCGGGAGCGCCCCGTCTGTAGGAGGGTGGGGAGAAGGGAGGCAAAAGCTCCTTAGCGGAGCCCGCCGGGCATCGCGCCCCGCCAGGAGCTCCCGTGCCCCGCTGCTCCGAGCGAACCCCGCGGTACCGGCGGGAGGAATCCGCCCCCCGCTCCTCCTCCAGCCCTGCCCTCCCCGCCGCTCCCGCAGCCCGCCGAGCCCCCGCCCGCCCGTACCTTCGTGGTGGAAGCTGCGGACGGTGTTGGCGCGGCTCGCCGCCCGCTCCAGCGGGAGCCCGAGCGCCGGCGGCTGCCCCAGCTGCTGCCCCGCGTGCAGGCGGTAGAGGTCCAGCATGTAGGGCGGGATGACGACGTCCTTGCCGGGGCTGGGCCGCCGCTTCAGCCCGAACATGTGGAGCAGGCGCAGCTCGAACTCGCTGAGCAGGTCCTCGGGGCGCTGCGCGGCCGAGGCGGCGCGGCCCGGCTCGATGAAGCGCCGCCGACCCACCTCCGGCATGAGCCCGGCCGCGCCGCCCAGCAGCGCCTGGCACAGCAGCAGCGCCAGGACGGAGCGGGTCACGGCAACCATGATCAACCTGCGCGGAGGAGGAGGAGGAGGCGATGGGAGCCAGTCAACGCGGACACCGCGCCGGGGGAGGGGGGGGACGGGCGGGCTCGGTCCGCAGGTGGGACCCAGCCCGGCACCGGGCCATGCATGGCCGGCGGAGCCCCCCTCAGGGCCCGCTTCAGGTGCGCGGCGGCACCGAAAGCCCCGCGGCTGGAGATCAAAGGGAGCGCAGCGGCCGGGCCGGGCCGGGCCGCGCCGGGGAGCGGAGCGGGGCGCTCGGCAACAAAGGAGCGCGGAGGTGAAGGGGAGGAGGGGGCGCAGGTGTGCCCCGGGCCGGGTCCGGCACCGCTCCGCCGGCAGGGGAAGGGGCGGCTGCCCAGCCCTGCAAAGCGACCTCCCCGCTGCGCTCCCGTCCCGACCCCCGGGCTCCCCCCAGACACCCCGCCGAGCCCAGCCGCGGGGACTCGGGGCCGGCTCCGCTCCTCCCGCGGCGGGGCAGCGGCTTCCCCCAACGGAGGGAAAAGGAAAGTTATTTTCCCTCCGTGGAGTGAAAAAAAGGGGAAGGAGGAAAGTAAAAATCCTGCTACGTCCTCAGCCAAACCCACAGGCTGACATTCTCCCCCGTGAAAATCTGGGCTGGATTATTATAATAACAATAATAGTAGTTATGATTAGTGTCCCGTCCCCCCTCTCTCTTCCAGAGCGCTAGCACCTCCGCCGTGGCCCACGGAGTCATCCTGCGGAGAAGGCTTTCAGCGGATCTGCGACCGCCGGAGCTATACCTGTGTGCAGCAGCAGGGGTTGTGTCTGCAGGAGGGTGTTCTGCTCTCGGGGTGTTTTTCCCGCATCACTTGGTGTTACTCCAAACTTCTCTGCTGCTCCTCTACAGCTGCCGAGCAGAAAATAGAAGTTCCCTGAAGTACAGTCCGCCTCGGAAACATACTTTTAGCAGCTGGTTGAGGAGGCAGAATGCAAGTCCCGGCCAGGGAAAAGGCTTCTCCCTTTTAAAAGCAGCGATCAAAAAGTTGTTGCTTCTTCTTTTTCTTTTTTCTTCCTCCTCCTCCTCGCCTGTGTGCGTGTGCCTGCCCGTGAATGGGTCCCTACGTGTCTATGGAGTTAAAAGGCTCCTTTTAAAAAATGTCCTTTGCATCACGCTTATCAGACAGATGGTCATTTACCGAGATTCCCGCAGCAACATCAAGATGAAGTTTGACTTGTCTCCGCTCCCTTAAAAAAGAAAGGAAAAAGGAGGGAGGAGGGTAAATAAAAGGGAAAAAAAAAAAAAAAAAAGGGTGGGGAGCCGCCCGCCGCCGTCCCGCGTGGAGCGGCCGCGTTAGGGCAGCGCGCCGGGCTCCCCGCCGGCCCCGCACCGCACCATGGCCGGGGGTGGCCGCCCGCCGCCGCCGCCGGGGCTTTTTGTTGCACGGCGATGTCACGACCCCGGAGGCTCGGGGGCCCGCGCCAATCACAGCCGCCCTGTGGGAGCGGGCTGCGGCCCCGCACGGCTTTTAAAGGAGACGCCGCCTCCCTCCCTCGCTCCTTCCCTCCCTCCTCCCTCGCCCGCTCCCTCCCTCGCCGCGGCTGCCGCCCGCGCCCGGGTCGCAGTGCGGCCGGGGCGAGCGATGGGGAGGGCGGCTGTCCCGTTAAACCGCGGTACCGGCGGCTGATCCGATGCGGGAAGACCCCCAGCAGGGCCGGGCCCTTGCCCCGCTCCGGGCGGCCGCGCCGCAGCGGGACGCGGGACCGGGCCGGGTCGAACAATGACCCATTGTAGAGCCCCGAGTGCTCCTCCGCCGCCGCAAATCGGATTAGCGCCGTGCCCCGGACTGCCGGGGTGGTAAGGTGTGAAGGTCATGTAAGGTACCGGGAGAATCCCGGTGCTTTAAAACCACTTTAAGTATATGTATCTCCTTATTTACTATTCTCCCTTCACCAGCGCGCGGAGCCCGCTGCCCGAGCCGGAGGCTGGAAACCCGAGGGGTTTCCTCGTTCTCTCCTCCCCGCAAGAGAAGCGCCCGGGCTCGGGAGGAGTCTCCTCCCGCAGCGCTGCTGCGGCGCACCCGATGCGGGCTCAGCCCCGTGCGGGCGGCGGAGGGGCTGGGTTGAGTTGGGTGGTGGTTTTTTTTTTTTAAGATGTGGCTGCCCTCCAGTGGTGGAAAGGCGGCGGATCGCCGGTCTCGGCACGGCAACCCCGGCACAAACCACCCGCCGCCGCCGCCCCGCACCTGCCCGGGGCTGAGCCGCGCTCCCTGCGGGGCCGGGCCCTCCCGTGCCCACGCCGGTGCTCCCCGGGCTGCAGCCCCGACCGCCCGCGCTGGGCCCGGCACCGCACAGAGGTAGCACTGGTGAAGAAGGCAGGTCCTGCTCAGCGGGATCTGGCTTCTAATCCAAGCTGCACCCCTCGCTCCCTTTCCCGATACTGCAAATACCCTGACACACAGGATAGCTCAGTAGGGACGTGTCCCTCGCCCCATCCCTTGTTTGTCTGCTCGGGCTCTGCGGCAGGGCCTGGCCCTTGCAGAGGTATGCGGTACCTAGCAATTTAGGGTCCTCATCAAAGCCACAGCCATCGGCACACCATCATTGCCTTCCCGGCAAGGCAAGTGCTCTGCACTGCACCTCCTCTTCCCAACACCTCTCGGGGGCTTCATTTGCAAAAGACACGGCCAGCCTGTGACACCCTGAATTCCAGCGGAGGACTTAGAGCAGTAACAACGGAGACAGCTCCATTACCAGCTCCTCCTTTGGGAGAGGTCCTTTCCCTCCACTTTCAGCCTAGGAAAAGCACTGATCCGAGGCAGGAATTCAGCCACATTTGAACTGGAATAATTCCTCCCGTGTACCTGCTTCCCTTGGTTTTCCTATCACCTTAGGGTGAGTTCACCCATTCTGGTGAAACATCACTGCAGGATGAGGAGCTCACCCCAGGAGTTACACACCAGTGTAATTAAAGAGCTGGTAAAGCCCCTTCACACCAACAGCTCCCAGCACTTGCTAACCTGATTTTCACTCATGGTGGGAGAGGGGACACAGAGTGAGGTGAAATCCTTCAGAAGTTTAGCTATTTTTCCGTTGCATTCCAGCACAGATAATGTTTAATTTTATGACTTCCTGCAAGTCTTTAGCACGAACTGAAAGTTCGTGCAGTGTGACTTCAGGGTATGCCAATTATGTAAATCAGCACTAAAATAACAATGGCAACGTAGTTTACACATCACTGACATTAAATGAGCACTTCAACTTCTAATTGCCATTCCAGTTCAATCTTAGTGGGTCATGCCAGGAAAAAGTCATTTCTTGCCTCAACACTTACTCCCTGTGCCTGGAGCATAGGCTGTACTGTATGCCCAGCTCTGCATTATCTCCAGGAGCTTTCTATATTAGGATGACAAGCCTTAGAAGGGAGAAATGTGTTTGTGGTTGTTCTGGAGGCCTGCATATTCCCTGATCTGATATCAAAAGGGTCTTGTAGGTTTGCCCCTCTCTGATTTCAAATATAAATAGGCTCTCACAGTCTTTCTCTTGGCCACAAAACACATTTCCCTTCTACTTTGTCATCTCTCAGTCTGTCTAGATCAGGAGCCGCTGGGACAGCAATTCTGCCTTCCTATCTGTTTCCTTGAGGTCCCAAAAGACAACACCAAAGCACCTACAACACGTTCCCTGAATGCACTGGCACCCACACCAGAGCCTCAGCCATACCCCAGCACACAAAGATCACTCACCAAGGCAGATCTGCTTCCCTTCCAGCCTGCACCCTGGTGAATACAGGGAATGAGGCCCTCAATACATCGTCCATGAAGCTCTAAGTATGGTCTGTGCCTCCTCACTGCCTAAATACTGCCTGTGACTGTTGTGCTCAGGCCCGTTCTGCTGCATCACCCCAGCACACCTGAGCTGCCCAGCTGAGAAGCATCTTCATCATGGCAGAGAGCACTGGACACAGGTGTACCTAAATTTCTGCAAGTGCCCACTCAGACATGAGTGTGCACATTTGATAATGTCCTTTGGGAAACTTCACTTCCCTGCTCCCGAACTTTGTATAGTAACCGCACTGATTCATCCCTTTCTTCTTTCCCATGTGCACTCTACTTTTATTTGGTTTATATTTCTTTTTTAGTGGTTTTTTTTCAGCCAGTAAATGCTCAATTAGCAGCACCTGCTGCTAATATGCTGCTAATGATTCAGATCCAGGTGTTCCTGTGCAGGACCCAAACACAGCTGATAGGTATCAACTTCAGTTGTTGTTGAGGTTTATTAGCAAAATGATAAAAAAGTATCTAAATAAGGACAGGTTTTACAGCGTGGTGAGTTCCTTTTTCAATAGTAGTGAGAGAAAGAAAAAAATCTTTCATCCCTCAGCATTTTGTCTTACAAATCCTATACCAAATCCCATTTATGCACTGCTATCCTGCAGTGGGTTTTTTCTAACCTGGTTAGAATTGCTGATGGGCAGAACACTTCAGCTGGAAGACCTAGATGCAAAAGTCTCACTAGGGTTGGTGACCACAACTTGTAATCCTTAACAAAACTACCTAATTTCTGGTCTGGTTAGAGAGACAGATCTGCAGAAACACATCGCTGTCTGCACACTGACGCTCATCTGTTTCCCTCCTCACTTCAGCAGCCCCATTAGACCAACACTGAGCACTTCTGAAAATTCCCACTCTAGCCCCCTGTCCCCTGGATATGACAAGTATGTGAGACGTGAAATATTAATAGCAGTGAGGGGGGGTTATAGATTTTGCACACTTTAGTGAATAAACCTCTTGATAAAACTCTGTGCTGAAGAATGAAACATATACATGGTACAGCATCAAGGGCGCCTGCTGAGAATGAGTTAAGATGTGTTGGTGATGTTGAGGTTTTGCCTTTGTAACGGGTGGAGATTATCTGAAGGCTTTTCTGTTCCTGAGCTGTGCTTCCTGTTGGCATCTGTGTGAATATGATGTGTGGCCATTCTTTAAAACATTACTTAAGACTGTTTTCTGAAGACGTATTTGTCTTTTGGTGGTTTGTCTTTTAACATCTACCAGCAGCCTGTGCTGCACAGCCTGTCTCCTGTTCCCTGAAGGATGGATTCTCACCCTCGAGAAGATGATTTACAAGAGATTGATTTGTTTTTGAAGAGGAGAAAGGCAGCTTATTCAGAAATGTCTCTTTCTTCCTTATTCACCTTTGCTGAAATCTGGCAGCTTTTCAAAGCTGTCGCTCTGAGTCTCAATTTCATTCATCAGATCTCAGCTCTTTCCATCACAGAGGCAGGAAAATTGGAATTTATCAGGAAATACAATGCAGGCCCAGGATTTTCTACACTTCCAGAATGTCCCCACTGCTCATGAATGATAACAGTTGCTCCCAAGTTTGTTAGATCTGCAAATAAAGGCTGCAGCAACCAGTTCACGTGGCTGTGCAGCTTTGACAAATTCCCACAGTTTTTAATAGAATTACTGGGGAAAGAGGAAGAAGGGAATCTAATATGATAACCTTTTCTTTTACTGTTTTCCCACTGATGCTACAAGGTTCCAGATTTCAAAATCCAGTTATTTGGCATGTGGCTTTTATCATCAAGAGGTGAAAACGCCATAACACGTTAGTACAGGGGATGCCAACTATTCTGGTCAGAAAATTCAGAGCAAAGCGGGATTTTTTGATTATATAAGACTTGCTTGGAAGACAATGAGGTGAGCGTGCTCCCTCCCTTCCCAAAAAAAATGGAAATGGCTGCGTCACAGATGGTCCACTTCAGGAGCTTAGAATTTCATCACTGCAGAGATGACGTCAAGCAAGATGGAGGATAAAATAAAGTTACGCATATTGCCTTAAGAAGTGCATATTTCAGCAGCGAAACTGGATAATGTTTTGCAATTAAAATAAAATAAAGGCAAGCGTGACGTTCTGTTTAAGCAGATTGTTTGTATGAAGGCTTTATTGTAGCTGCAGATTTAGGGCATATGAAAAGGTTTTCTGTGCTCAGTTGCAGGATGAAAAACATTGCATCATCGGGCATTCTTGTTCTCTAACACTCCTTTGCCTTTGATAATGAATGCTGGCAGTTTTATTTTCTGGTGTAAAGTCATGTTTTCTCAGGTCATTATCATTCCAGTTTTTAAATATCCTCCTATAAGCGGGCAGAACCCCCGACAGCAATAGTGGAGCTTTGTGCCTGCCCCGTGGCACGTGCTGGGCACAGCACCCAGCTGCTGCACCTGCCTCACGCTGCGAGT